TACACATCAGAGGCATTCAAACAAATACGAAAAACGAGCATAAAACGACATGCAAATAACGAGCGCACACTTAGAAAATCCACGATAAATATATTTAACAAAAGCGGGCACCAGCCCAGTAGTCAATGGTACAAATACAGAGCACGAAGGCCCAAAGAAAAAGATAACAAACATCGGCACGCAGGCCACAAAAACAACGAGCACGCAGGCCCGGCAACCTATGCTTCCTCGTCTGCCCGGTCAGCAGCCACGGGTTCCTCCTCGGGGATAACAAGATAAGGATTGATCACCTTCCCATCAACAATCTCGTGGTACGGCCCTATCCCGTCCACGGCCAGCACGACACCAGGGTTGGCGACCTGAATCTGCTCGACGGCATTCTTGAACCCGACCTCAACGGCCTCCAGACAATCGCTCTCCAACACCCGAATACGGGCGATCAGGTCAGCACGGGTGATTAACCGTCGATCCCCGTCAGTCTCGTCCTCGGCCGGACGAACAGCGCTGTCCAAAACCTCCGTGCGAACCTTCAGCGCCTGCACCTCGGCCGTCGCTGTCCCCAGTTTTTCCTCCAGCGAAGTCACCTTCCCCTCAGCACCCTCTGCCCGTTTCCGCTGCTCGGCAACATCCTTCTGGCTCTTCTCCAACTCCTCAGTGAGCTTGGCCAACCGCGACTGCGTGAAAGTGAGATCCCCTTGCAGTTTGGATAGCTCAGCAGCGGAGCAGCCCTCCTCGTTCAGCACGAGAGTCGTCGTGAACGTCCGCATCATTGCGGCCAAGTCCTCAGCCAGGACACGTCGACGGGTCTCTCGATCAGCCTGACGAACAGCCTTCACCTCCCCGGCGGAAACAGTGGGAGAACGGGCGGCATGAAAATATCCCGGATGCTGGTGGCAGGGAGGGACGACATAACCTTCCTCGACGGCGCCGACCGTCAGATCCACCACCCGAGGCTCCTCGGACCTTTGCCTCTTCGACGCTTCTTGAGACACAGGAGATTGGCTCTCTTGAGGCGACGAGGACGAAGTTTGCCCCCCCTGCGTCGCGACCTCCTGTCCGACCAGCTGACTCACCCTCGTCCTCGGGGCCACGACATTCCTAGCAGCGCGCAACTGCTTCACCCGCTCATCGACGGTAGACATGTTAGCTGCAAAAATAAAGAAATGGGTTAGCGACGATCAAAAACCCCGACCACGGGGGGGAAACGAACATCCCTACCTAGATAATCCAGAGCGGCCGCCCCGGTCGCACAACCGAGCAAAGTCTTAGTATTTATCAAACGCTTCTTGGTGCGTATGTTCCCCTGAGCGTCAAGGATATACCGACCGTCGAGCGTCACCAGCTTCGACGGAGGGAGAGACCGCACAAAGGCAATTATTTTCAAATAGGCGGCCATGTCCTTCTCCTCGAGGGTCCCCGCCCGGACGATATACCTATCCGTCCCTCGGCTGAAATGCTCCGCAGTCCACAGTAGATGTATCTTAGGAAGCCACGCGCGGAACCGCTGGCCATCTACCGTTCGCTCGCCCTCGTCGAAGAGAGTGTCCGAGCCGTGCTGCGTGATCGGTTTGACGAGGTAGAACCGATTTTTGAAGTCTTTGACAGAATCGCTATACGCTTTGAAAATTTTGGTCGATTGCTTGAAGGAGACCCATCTGTGGCGACCGCGCATCGTCTGCCGCTGCAAATGGAAGATACGGAAAAATAACGGCACCGTCGGCTCCACCGAGAGGTAGAAACACACCACCTCGAAAGCCCGGATGAAAGCCAAAGCATTGGGGTGCAGCTGGGACGGGGCAAGACGCAGCCAGTCAAAAAGCCCCAGATGGAAGGCGGAAAACGGTAACCGGAGCCGAGCTTCTTTAAAATAGAATTCATGCATCGGGAACATCCGCCGCCCATATCGCGAACAGATTCGGTGATGTTCTTTTGGCCGGTACACCTGCCAGTGATGTGTTTCTCCTATCGGCGTGTCCTCGACCGTGGCGTACACGTCGGACGCGTCGGCCACAAAGCAAGAAGGGGTAGAAAGTGGCTCCTCGGCCGCCCACTCCTCGGATGGGGCAATACGCTCGTCGTCATACTCTGGAACCTCGGGTTCATTGTCTTCAACCATTATCCCCGGCACCAGAGCCGACATCTACACCTGAAAGCAGAGGACATCGGTGAATTCGATAGCCAGGATCAAATCCACCCTTCCACCGCAAGTCAAGTGAAAGGGCGACAAAGGCCGGGAAGCGACGAGCAAACACTCGCTCCCCGTCTACCCTCCTCGGGGATCAAAGAACGACCCCTCGCCCCCTCTCGGGACGGCCATCGGAGAAGGTACTTCTCCCCGGGGCATTCATCGGAGAAAGCCCCCGTCCTCGGGGCATTCATCGGAGAAAACCCCCGTCCTCGGGGCATTCATCAGAAAAAGCTCCCGCCCTCGGGGCATTCATCGGAACCAGCCTACCGTCCTCGGGACATTCATCAGAAAACTCGCCAGACGCAGCGGAACTCGCGTCCCTCCTCGGGGCGTTCATCACGCCCCGACCACACGTTCCAGTTAAACGACGGAAATAAAAAGGGAGGGAAAAGAGGAACTCACTTGTAACGGCGGCGGACGGATGAAAAGAGCAAACGGTACGGCGGCGATCGGCGGCAAGCGGTGGACGAGCAGAGACGATAAAGATTAGCAGGGAGAAAAGTAACAGAATGAGCGGGGACCTCCATATTTATAACCCGGCGCGGGACTCGAAGCGACCCTAGGCTCATTAATGACATAGGGTAGCCGCCCCTACGACCGCTTAACACAAGACACGTGGCGGCAGCCTGACAGTCGCGTCCCTTCACCTGCCTCCTCCCCGTTCTGCCGACGACCGGAGATCTTCGTACGAGTGCCCGCTCCAGATGCGCCGACCTTAAGTCCTCGCTCTTTCCCCAGAGCTTCGACTTGGGGGGCTCCTGTTCCGGTATGGGCCTCACCTCGGCAGGCCCAATACCGCGTGCGGCCCAACAAGCGGACCGGGCACGCCAGGCACGCGCGCCCTTCGAGACGAGCAGGGCAGTCCGCCGAGCACAAGCTACGTCTCCACACCCTTTTTGTCGTCCACCACGCCGGACGAGCAGAACCACCCGGGCTCCCCTCCGCGGGGAGAATAACGTGCTCGGCGCACGTTCTCCACGTGCTCCCCTCCGCGGGGACACGTCACCGACCAGCTGCCCACCTCCGAAAGAGCAGGTCAAACCCACTTTCCGGGGATCTAGGGGTAGTTGAACTAGGGCGAAGACCACGTCCTGGTCTTCACTACGCCACGTAAGCCCTAGCAGTCATTAGGGTTGGGCCTGGTCATCCAGCCCACCTCGAATGACCGTTGGCCCAGCGCTGGGGTCTCTCTATAAATACCCTCTTCTTCAAGAGGGTCAGGTAACTCTTCTTGCCCCCTTTTTCTGTACTATTGCTTCCTCTCTGTCCAACTTCTTACTTGGGCGTCGGAGTGTCTTGCAGGTACACCCCCTCCTCTTTCTCACCCCGGTGAACAGGTAGCAGCCCAACAGAGTGTGGTCAGTCCGTGATCCCCTCCTGATCAGGTCAGATCAATATTTTTCAACATTCTCCTTCAATTAATTGATTATATGTATTTATTTTCATTTTAACTTTCTTCTTGTTGCCTTCACTATTCCTATTTCTTTGTTATTCATTGTTTTAAAAATGTGCCAATCTTATTAATATTAATGTGATTTGCCGTTTTTTTTTAATTTCTTTTTATTTGTTAATTTTTAATTCATTAATTCATATTTTATGTTATTTATTCTTTCAGAACATCATCACTAATTTTTTTGTTTTTTTTCTCTTTCTACACTCTCATTTTAAGTACATATTTAATCATCACAAAAATGTATTTAATTGTTAAGCATTTTGCTAAAGAAGTCAAAAAGTATATGTTCTTATTTTCATTTTAATTTTCTTATTTTTATTTATTTATTTATGAGATTGTCATTTTTCAATTTTTCTTTATTTTTTAATTTCTTTTTATTTGCTAATTTTTCGTTCTATTTATTTTTGCAGATACAAATTTGAAATAATTACAAAATATATTACTTATTTTCTTTATATTTTAATTTAGTTTTTTTGGGCTTTTTTTGTTATATTTACTCTTATAGATACAAATTTTGATTAATCACAAAATATATTTTATTTTTATTGATACCTTAATTGTCAAATAGATTATATTTGTGATACTAGCCAGATTAAAATATTAATTAAAGTATTTTTGGTCACATATAAATAATTTCTTAACTTTATTATTTATCTCCGTATATTATTCATTATTTGTTTTCCTTCTTATTTCACCATTAACTTATTTCATATTTTTCGTTCTCATTCCAATAATTACTCCCACCACTAAATATATATCTCTCACACACACACACACACACACACACACACACACACACACACACACACACATATATATATATATATATATATATATATATATATATATATATATATATATATATATATATATATATATATATATATATATATATATATATATATATATATATTGAGTTAAAATTTTAGTTATATATTAAATTATATTAAATTTTACAATATCATTTAAAGTTTAATAGAGATATATTGACAATATAATTTTTTCTTTTTTACATTCATTAAAAATATATTACTATATCATATCATATAAATAATTTAAAAATTTAATCTAATTTGACAAAATACCTTGTCATTGTTAATATAAAATTAATATACATCCATTATGCCTTTTCTTTAACATTTATCCTATAATATGTTACAAAGAATTTATTTATAAATTTTAGTTAACATATGTTTCTAGAAAATTAAATAGAACATGATGCATGGGTAGGCAATTAGTAAACATATAGACGTTTCTTGAGTTTCAGTCAGTGGTGCCAAGATCTAGGAAGAAAGAGTTGTGAAAGACTAAGGTTGCTACTGTCAAAAATGCCTACACCACAAGGTCAAAGTCTTCCCAATGATTTATCTCTATTGGAATGCTAGAGGTTTGGCTAACTCACCTACAAATTTAGTTCTTAAAAAGATTATTCTTAAGCATAGACCTGGTTTTGTTTTTATTGCTGAGCCTTGGATGGAGGGTGATGTCTTTTTTAAAAGTTGGCTTGACAAGCTTTCTCTCAAGTTCTTTGTTGTTAACCTTAGAGACCCCTCCCCCTTAATTTGTGGTGTCCTTGTACTAATAAGTACTCTCCTAATGTGATTAGTAGGGATGATCAGCAAGTTTCCTTCTCAATTAATAATGATGGCTTTCAACTCCATTTGTCTGCCGTTTATGTCTCAACTTGTTACATAACAAGAAGATCTATTTGTCATAATCTCAAAATGATCCATGATATGCACCCTGGGCCCTGGTGTTCTATTGGTGATTTCAATGTAATCTTGGGAGCTCATGAGCATAAAGGAAGACATTGCCCTCCAACAACTCCTATGGAAGACTTTAGATTGTGGATTGACTCCAACAACTTTTTTCATCTCCCTACTCTGGGCATAGAATTCACTTGGAACAATGGTCGAAAAGGCATCAACAATATTTAAAAAAGACTGAACAGATGCATCTGCAACTTTGATCTTATTGATGTTTGCTTTGCCATTTCAATTTCTATTTTAACCAAAAACAAATATGATCAATTTCCTATCCTTTTGCAGGTCATGAATTTTTCTACAAGGCTCCCCTCTCCTTTTAGATTCTTCAATATGTGGAACCTTCAGAAAGATTGTAAAAGTCTCATAAAAAACAGTTGGAATACCATGGTTGTTGGCTGCCCCATGTACATCCTGAACTCAAAGCTCAAGACCCTCAAGAGCAATCTCAAAGATTGGAATAAGGCTTCTTTTGTAAATGTGCATGAAAAAGTTAAAATTGGTGGACTCAATCTTGATGTTGTGCAAAAAAATATTGATTCTTTAGGCCATTCTGACACTCTTGTTGAACAGGAAATAATGTTATATTGGAGTTGGAACATGCTCTCAATGTTGAGGATATTTTTTTGGAAAGAAAAGTCCAAAATCAAATGGGCTTTAGAGGGAGATATAACTACTTCTTATTTTCATAAGCTCGCTAAGATCAACCACTCCATCAAGAGAATTATGGCCTTAAGAGTGGAGGATAATATCATTACTAACCAATTGGATATAGCTTTTCATGTAGTTAATCGTTTTACTAATCTTTTTTATTCTTCCTCTCTCCTGCTGGATAATGACTTAATTCAAAGGGTTATTCCTAATCTCATCACTGATGACATCAATCATATTCTTGCTTTGATGCATTCTGCTGAGGAAATCCATCAGGTTGTTTTTGCTCTCAATCCTTCTAGTGCTCCTGGACCTGATGGATTTGGTGGTTGTTTCTATCAAACTCATTGGGACATCATTAAAGAGGATGTTATTAATGATGTTTTAGAATTCTTCTCCACAAGTTGGCTCCTCCCTAACTTTAACTCCAACACTTTAGTGCTCGTTCCCAAAGTTGATAATGCTGACAGAGTTGATCAATTCAGGCCTATTGCCCTAGCCAACTTCAAATTCAAAATCATCACCAAAATTCAGGCTTATAGACTTGGTACCATCATGCTCTCTCTGATTTCTAAGGAGCAAAATAAATTTATCCATGGCAGACTCATTAGAGATTGCATTGCCATCACTTCTGAAGCTTTCAACATTCTTCTAAACAAATCTATTAATGGAAATCTTTGTCTCAAGATTGACATGGCCAAAGCCTTTGACACCTTGGATTGGTGTTTTCTCCTCAAAGTTTTGAGACAACTTGGCTTCTGCAACACCTTTTGTGATTGGATAAGCACTATTCTTCATTCTGCTAAGATTTTTCTCTATCAATGGTTCCCTTCATGGTCACTTTTCTTGCAAAAGAGGGGTCAGATAAGGTCATCCCTTGTCCCATCTTCTTTTCTGCATTGCTGAAGAAGTCCTCATCAAAGGCATTTTCTGGTTGGTTGATTAGGGAAAGCTTGATTTGATCAAGGGATATAGAGCTATGAATATTCCTCCCCACTCTCTTTATGCTGCTGATGTTGTTATTTTCTTCAAGGGGAAGCATTCCAACATTGATTCTCTTTTGGAGCTTTTTCATGATTATGCCAGTATTTCTGGTCAATTTGTCAACCCCTCCAAGTCTTTTGTATATGATGGTTCTATCTCTAGCAGTAGATTACAAATCATTGCCCAAAATATTGAATTTCAAACTGGAGGCTCTTATTTCACTTATCTTGGTGTCCCTATTTTAAGGGGCAAACCAAAGACTAGGCATTTGTCTCCTATAACTGATAGTATCAAGAATAAGTTCACTGCTTGGAAAGCTTCTCTCTTATCAATTATTGGCAGAGTTTAACTTGTAAAAAGTGTTATTTATAGCATGATCCTTCATAGCATCCTCATTTACTCTTGGCCTATTGGTCTTATTAAACAAGTTGAGAAGTGGACCAGAAACTTCATTTGGAATGGTGACATCTCCAAGAGGAAGCTTGTGATTATTTCCTGGAAGAATCTTTGCAAACCTATTAAGGATGGCGGGTTTGGCATTAGGAGTATCTCTAAACTCAATGAAGCTACTTATATGAAGTTGGGATTGGAATTTCTTCACTCCCAGTAGGATTGGGCCACTCTTTTAAGGCATAAGGTGCTTAGAAAAAGGAGTACTATAAGGCATCACATATACTCTTCTCTTTGGAGCAGTGTTAAGCACAAATTTCACCTGCTCATGGACAACTCTTCTTGGCTGCTTGGGGATGGTTCTAAAATTGATTTTGGGTTGGATAATTGGTGTGGAAAGACTTTCATAGAGGATTTTCTCAATCCTCTCATTCTCATTAATCTTTCTCCTAAGGTTTAGGATTTTACTTCCAATGGTAACTAGTTTTCCCTATTGTTTGGTATCATGTTTTCCCTCAAGTCATTACAGTCATCAACAAATGCCACATTCCCTTGGATTTTAAGGTTGGTGAGTTGGTTTGGAAGCATTCCCCCTCGGAATTTTTATCTTTGAAGGAGGCATATCTTCACATCAATCCTCCAAGGCCTCTTTTGTCTTGGTGTATTCCATTTGGAACCCTACTTTCCCTCCTTCCAAATCTCTTCTTGTTTTGAGGCTTATGCACAATAGGATCCCTTGTGATGCAAACCTCAAGATCCATGCTTGCAATGGCCCTTATGTAACACCCTTTTTCTACCCCACAGTTTTAATGGCAAAATATTCACATTTATCAGAGTAAAATATTAAACTAAAAAAAAATCACCTCAAAGGGCGTACATTTTCCAATAAATCAAATATAGGTCAAGGCTCCATAAACAACGGGTTTTCCAAAAAGTTATCAAAAATTGCATCAAAAGGCAGCAGAACTCAAAAAGGCATAATCCAAAGTTTTTCTTACGCTGCAAGGCAATCAACATATCAAAAACATCAATAAAATAAGGTTTGACTCAAAGACCTCAACCTGATGTTACACACTACCAGAGCAAGACCCTCTAAGTCAACCACATTGGCCAACGACCCAAAACTTCAAAAGTCCTTGACGGCATCCACGACTAAATCTGGTCATCTGCATGTTACCCACGTGGAGGCAACATTCAAACAGGCAGGGTGAGTAAAACGATTCATAATAAACAATATGGGAAATCAATATATAAATGACGTCATTCTCATATTCAACATCATCATATTCATTAATGGGTATCAAAGGCCACAACATCATAAATTATTCAAGATCATCTCATAAATACATATGCAACAAGACTCATGCATGTGTTATCGATCATCATAGCTCGATGGACACTGGGTCGTCAACCCTCCATAGATCTCTATCAATAGGATCGATTCTACTCGAAAACCGGAGCATATCAAAATACCTCACATCCGCACAATGGGACTGAAGCCAAAGAAATCAAGGTCCTGAACCGATGTCCGGATGCACATGAATGCATGACGCACACGTCAATAATCATCCTCATAATAACATCATAGGTGCATCATCATTCATAAAAATCATCATCATCACAATCATCATCATATATCATGTCATCATAGAATCATCAAAACTCATAGAACTATCATCATAACTCATCATCATTACATCATAGGAATCATCATATAATCACGTACTAATCACATAGAAATCACAAGCATACTCATTAATTTGTTAAAGAAATCACAGCATCATAACATCAAGGCATCACTACACAAAAATCAGAATTCGCAAAACTCTGTTACATTTGCTAACAAGTTCGTTGTGCGAGTCTGGGGCGAGTTTATTCATTGTGCGAAGGATTCTTCGTTGTGAGAGTCTGGGACGAGTTTTGTTCGCTGTGCGAACACACGATTACAGCAAAACACTGTTACGCACTAGAACTTAAAATCAACCCAAAAGTCCAACGATTTCCTCCCCTAATGCCCCCAAAACATCCCTAAATCATCCCTGAGGTCTTACGGCAATAAAGGCACAAAATCTACGACTTATTAGGCCAATCCCGTATCATATTCACGCTCTAATTCTCATAATTTCCTTACAACTATACCACAATCATTAGATTTTATCACTATCTAATTTCCCTACAGGGTTAAACAAATGTCAAATCATATCTTTGGCCACTAAGGCCTAATTTCCCTTTAATCCAAATCAGCCTCGAATCTATCAGACCATTAGTTCAAATCCTTATACGGTTAAAACCTCAACAATAGAATTTTGGCCACGAAGGCCTAATTCCCTTTATCTCAAAATCAGCCTCAAACCCTTTAAACCCTTAAATCGACTTTAAACACATTGAAATCACACATTGAAAATAGTGAAGGCAATACTCCCCATACCTTAATTTCTGACTCTAAGCTTTCTCCTTGATTCTCAGAAACCTTTCGAATCTTTTGCCTCAAACCTCTTCCTCAGAGCTCTAGCCTCAATTTCTTCTCTCTTCACAGTCTAACAAGAATGATTCCTAATTCTCTCAGAAATCCCTTTTTGTTAAACCTAACTTTGGGCCTATAAATTGGGCTTTTCCAATATTACCCTCACTAACTCCTCCTTAATTGTCCAATTTGCCCTTAGTTAACTTATATTTATTTAAATTAATAATAATACCAATATATTCATATTATATACTATTATTTAAATAAATAACTTAAAATCCATAATTCTCTATATTTCACACCAACCACCGAAAATACCAAAATTTGAATATTCTTATTTAAATAAATTAAATAAATTTGGGGTGTTACAAATCTTCCCCACTTAAAATAATTTTCGCCCTCGAAAATTACCTCAAGGAAACAGAGTCAGATACGACTCCCTCATCTGATCCTCACGCTCCCAAGTCCAACTTTCTCCAACTGGTCCTCCCAAAACTACCTTTATCAAGGAAATCTCTTTACCTTGCAATTACTTCACTTCTCATTTATCAATTCGTACTGGAAATGCCTCAACAGTCAAATTATCTCTCACTTGTACATCATCCATCTGAATCACATGTGACGGATCTGGAATGGACTTCCTCAACTGAGACACATGAAACACATCATGTAAATTTGCAAGCGACAGCGGTAAAGCAGTCCGACATGCTACTTATCCCACGCTTCCGCTGTGCCACTCTGATACGGACCAGCAAAATGCGGTGTGAGCTTTCTGGAATTCAAAGCTCGACCAATACCAGTTACTGGCGTAACTCTCAAAAACACGTGATCTCCTTCATGGAACTCAAGTGATTTCCATCTCTTACCATGGTAACTCTTCTAACGAATCTGCGACGCTTTCATCTTTTTTTGGGTCATCTTGATCTTTTCAGTCGTCTCTTGCACAATCTCAAGTTCGAGTACAACACTCTCGCCTGATTCATACCAACATAAAGGAGTCCTATATCTCCTACCATACAATGCCTCATATGGTGCCATTGCGATACTAGAATGGTAACTTTTATTATAGGTATACTCAATCAACGGCAAATGACTATCCCATGATCCACCTTGATCCAACACACAAGCTCTCAGCAAATCCTCTAGCGAATGGATAGTTCTCTCTGCATGTCCATCTGTCTGCGGATGATAGGAAGAACTCGACCTTAACTTAGTACCCAAAGCTATCTGCAAACTCTCCCAGAAACTCTATGTAAATCACAGATCTCTATCAGACACAACACTTGAAGGAATACCATGTAGTTTCACGATCTGATCAATATATAATTCGACAAGCTTCTGCAACGAATAATTGATCCTCATCGATATAAAATGAGTCGATTTGGTCAATCTATCAATACTCACCTAAATCGAATCATATCCCTTCAAAGTCTTCGATAAACCTATCACAAAATCTATAGAAATGTTATCCCATTCCCATTCTGGAATATTCAACGGTTGCATCAGACCCGACGGTCTCTGATGTTCAATCTTCGACTTCTGACAAGTCAAACAAGCATACACAAACTCTACAATTTCCTTCTTCATACCCGGCCACCAAAATAACTTTTTCAAATCTTGATGCATCTTTGTGGCACCAGGATGAATACTTAACTCGCTTATGTGACCTTCCTCAAGAATACTCTTCTTGATCCCTGGCACACCGGGAACACACACTCTATCTCTGAACCTCATCACACCATTCTCATCAATCCAAAAATCACCCCTATTACCTTGATTAATTAACGTGAGATGATCCACCAGTCTCAAATCAGATTTTTGACCTTCTCTGATTTGTTGGAGAATACCACTAGTCAACTTCGGCATACCCAACTTCACATTGTTAGGAGTCTCTTCACAAACCAAACTCATATATCTGAATTGCTCAATCAGTCCTAACTCTCGAACCATAAGCATCGACATATGTAAGGACTTCCTACTTAACGCATCAGCCACAACATTAGCCTTACCAGGATGGTAACTCAATTCAAAATCATAATCCTTCAGAAGTTCAAGCCATCTTCTCTGC